GGACATAAATGCAATGCTGCTTTGTCCTCAGAGAAGTTACAATCTACTAGAGGGAGAGAAACATGAAAAAAAAAAAAGGGCATTAAAACATGGGGTACAGAAGAGTAAGGGTCGGTTTTACATCAGAGAGCAGGTGGGCTCAGTGAATGCTCCATAGCAAAGATGACTCTTGAGATAAGAAGGGATCTGTGCTGCAGCGGAGGGGAGGAGCGCGGGCCAGGTAGAGAGCGGTAGCGGTGCTGGAATGAGCAAAGGCTGTGAGAATGAGCTCTGCATGCGCGAGGGATCTGCAGGTGCGGTAATGGCATGTGGTCCAGGGGCACCTGGAGGGGCATCCAGAAGAGGCAGGGCCAGATGATGGAGGGCCTCACCTGCTATGCTTCACAGCAGGGCTATGAGGGGCCCCATCAGGGAGTAACGATAGTGGCGATGGAGGGGACTCCAGAGCAAATAGACACCCTTTTAACGGGCCAGGCAGGAGAGTGGAATCTGAAGGGTTTGATAAACATGATGAAATGAGGTTTGGAGGATGAGGCTTCGGATCATTGTGTGCTGTATCAGTTGCATGGGGAAGACAGTTGAGGCAAGGGTATTAATTAAGAAGACATTTTTAATTGCTTATATGTGGAATCTAAAAAAGAAAAAGGATGTAAATGAACTAATTATAACTTAGGTGATTGATTTCTTGAATATGTGTAAGCGTATCTGACTGTCCTTTATGATTGGATTACTGCATTCTGTTGATTCTTACTTTGTGGCTGGCTTTATTCTTTTGATAACTATGTAAGTTTGAAAAGCTAAAGCTCTAAACTGTTCTTAGAAACAATGAACAGTACATATATGTAAATTCTAAAATGGAAAAAAAAGACATTTTTAAAGCCTGGGTATTTGATATGGGCTTGGACCAGTGGATTGTAATTTAATTTTTGCCTGTTTTCTAACTCTTTAATAGCTAGGAATGGCCAGGAAATTGGAAACATTCCTACCTCTGTTATGGGGATGGAGAGTCAGACACTAATGTTCACAAATAAGATTTGAAACATGACTCAAACAATTTGTTTAAAAACTGATGTAACAGGAGGAATTGCACGCATGCAAATGAACACCTGTGAAAATTCTTAGGCAAGAACTGCTGAATTTAGCAACACCAGCTTAGCAGAGAGGAATCTCTTTTGGGGCCAAATGCCCCGTTTTACAGATTGCTTTGCTGCCTGGCTCTGCTGTAATGTTTGTCGAATAGAAAAACAATTCTATCTTTAAAGGAGTTATTGAACTTAAAAAATAAGCCTGTGCGAGAATAAAACTGCTTCTTACCCTGATGAAAGACCAAAGACACAAAGATGCTTAAACACTCTCTAAAGATGACATTCACATGGTGTCATTAGGATCAGACTTTCTCAGCCATGACTATTTTCTCTTCCAATTACATCATGCTGCTGTGCATGGAATTCAGGAATGAAGAAGAGGAAAAAACAGAAGGGAAACAAGTGTCCTGAGAATCGACGTGTTGTAACCCAGGCCCTTAGTCTTGTCCCAACCAGTGCCGTCAAAACACTTCCCTACAGTATTTAAGACATATCTCGTTTTCACCTGTGAAAAACTTTAATCTTTTAAAGTAGCTTCCTTGTTTTCCTTTCTCTTCCCTAACTGTGACAGAATTGATTTGAATTATATACGTTGAAATAGAAAGTTCAAATGACTTAGACCGTATACCGTTAGGGGACGTAATTAAGGCATTTTGGATGCGTGATTCCTATCAGTTTCTGAGATGACCAGGGTATGTCCTTTGGAAACTGCTTAAACTATGTAAATGGATAAAAAAATATGTAAAAAAGTCTAGGGAGAAGCAGAAAATGCAGAGACTGTGCTGAGTTAATGTCTTTAGAATTAGTGTGTAAATTTGTCAATATTACTTTTCAGCTTATTATTATTATATTAGTATATTATAATAGATTAAATTATATTCACATTTTTCTTACTTTTTTATTGGGCTGAAAAACTAGTTCATTGTGTGATATTGTGATTTATGAGAAATATATATTTAGACATTCAGATGACCAAAATATGTTTCTCATATATATTTGGTTTTCATCTACAGTTCCTAGTTCACAGCCCTCAAAACCCTTGGAATTTCCTAAGTGATAGAGGTGTCTTTGGTTATGTTAATGAGGTGACTTTTGGATCCCACCTAAGAATGGGGGCTGGTTGGCAGAAGAACCAACCAAGTGATTGGAAGGAGGGCTGGAGATGGAATCAATTACCAGTGGTCAGTTGGTTTAATTAATCATGCCTATGTGATGAAGCCTCCATAAAACCCCAAAAGGACAGGTTCAGAGAGCTTCCATGTTGATGAATATTGGAGATGCAGGGAGAATGGCACCTGGAGAGGACGTGGAAGCTCCCTGCCCCTTCTCCATGCCTTGCCCTGTGCATTTCTTCCATCTGGCTGTTCCTGACTTACATCTTTCTATGACACACCAGTGCTGTAGCAAGTGAAATATTTCTATGGGTTCCGTGAGCTGCTCTAGCAAATTAATGAAACCGGAGGAGGGGTCCTTGGGAGCCTCTGATTTATAACCAGCCAGTCAGAAGCACAGGGAACAACCTGGACCTGGAACTGGCATCTGAATGCCACAGGGGTGGGGGTGGGGTGAGGGCCGCCTTGTAGGACTGAACCCTCAAACTGTGGAATCTGAGGTCCTCTCCAGATAGATAGCATTAGAATTGAGTTGAATTGTGGCACACCCAGCTGGTGTTCCAAGAATTGCTAGTTGGTGTGGGGCAACCTCTACACATACATGTTGGAATTGGGTCTAAGAACCCTTTTAATTGAAATGTGATATTTTTCTCTAAGAGGACATTTTGCCATCTTGAAATTACTGACATGCAAAATTATTTTCACATTGTATATGACTATCATGTTAAAATTCCACTGTAAAAAAAGTGGAAGCTAACTCAAGGGACAAGACCTTACTCAAACATGAGCTCACCAGCATCTGTTATCTAAACAAAGTTAAATTATCAACTTTCATAATTCCTAAGACCAACTATGTACATCGAGGGCTTGAACTGCCTTGGTTACATTTCTGAAAAGCATTTGTTGTTCTAATAGCAAAAAAAAAAAAAATAACATTGAGAAATTTAAAAATGTTCTTTGTGAGTCTGAATTTATATAGGGTTCTTTACTTGAGTTGATGGGAAACAAATAACATAACAAACAAATGTATGAGAAATAACCCACATTTTATGTTCACAGAGAAAACTAGAGTTTATGGCACTAGATACATTTCAGGTATGGTCAAGTACTTTACGCATATTATCTCGTGAAGTCCACCCATCAGCCCTATGGACTAGGTCGTATTGTCATCCCCATTTTGCAGATGGGAAAATGTAGGCACAGAGAGAGTAAGTAATTTGTCCCAGGTTAAATGGCAGGTGGTAGATTCAAGATTTTAATTCAGGCAGCCTGTCTGTGCAGACTACACCCTGTAAGCCATGGCTGTCCTCCCAGAATTGGAGTCGTCACTGTTCCCTGCAGACACCATGCTTATTCCCACTGCCACCCATCCCGTTCTGTCCTCCTGGAGTGCCCTCCCGCCTCTCTCCACTGACCATACGCTGTCCACGCTTCACTGTCTGGAAACGCTGTCGCTCTCCGTTCCCACGGCTGCTTCCCTGCCTGGTTTCCTATGGACCAAGCATGATTGCTTCCTAATGTTGGGTCGTAACCTCTGAAAACAGCTCTTCTACCTCAAATTGCCCTGCCTCCAAGCCATCCTAGTAATCCTGACAGTTAATCACCTTAAACACACTTTCATCAAAGGCCTTGGGTGGCTCCCACTGTCTTACTTTGAATCCTAGTTTGGAGACCATTTAAGCACTAAGACCCTACAAAAATCTGTCTTTGACCTACTTTTCCAACTGTATCCAGATGGTGAAACACCAACCCCAGATGGTATTTCTCAGGTCATTTACACGTGGTTGGCATAAAATAAAGCCTTTAATGTTAGTTGTTATTATATTGAATATATGAATAGGTAATATAGTTACATATTTCAAGCACCAAAACCAGAAATGTATTATTGAAATGTCTTCTATTTATTCTTGGCCCCATCATCTCAGTTCTGATCCCCACCCAAAACATGTTAAACCACTATTATGCATTTCTTTTTTTTTCCAAGATAAATTATAGCGTACTACGCACAGTGACCTGTTACATGTAGCTTTTTTTCCACTTGGTGTATCTTGGAGATCTTTCTCTGTCAATAGCTGAAAAGCTTTCTCATTTCTTTTTTATAGCTGCACAGGAATTTTTATAGCTGAATGGATGCACCATAATTTAATTAATCATAATTTAATTATTCTCTAACCATACACATTTGTGTCATTATAAGCAAGGCTAAAGCAAATATCCTCATTCACATATAATTTTGCGTGCCTGAGAACTTATTTGTAAAGTACATTCCTAGAAAGAGGATTGGTTAGAAAAATGATTTATGCATTTGTAATTTTAATAGTTATTGCCAAACTGTCCTCCAGGGTCATATCAATTTCCACTTTCAAAAATGAATGAATCACTAGTTTCTCCACAGCCTCACCAACACGCTGTTATTAAAGTTTTAGATTTTTGCCTATCTGATGGGAGAAATAGTGTCTTGGTGTAGTTTTAGTTTGCCTTTAAAAAATGAGTGAGTTTGAACATCTTTTCAAAAATTTAAAGGCCACTTGTTTTCCTGTGTATTGGCTGACCACATCGTTTGCACATTTTAAATTGGGTTCCTCTTTATCTATTTACAGGTACTGTATATATTATGGAAATTAGCCCTTTCTGTTATGTAAGATGCAAATACTTTCCCAAGTTTGTCATTTGTCTTTTGATTTTGTTTGTGGTATTTTTTTTCATACAGATGCTTTTTTTTTTAATTGAAGTATAGTTGATTTACAATGTGTTGGTTTCTGGTGTACAGCATAGTGATTCAGTTATACACATTTTTTTCATATTCTTTTTCATTATAGGTTATTACAAGCTATTGAATTTAGTCCTCTGTGCTATACAGTAGCGTTCTTTTACTTTCCACATTTAAATCTTGGATCCGTCTAGAATTTATCCTGGCATAGATTGTGAGATATGGTTCCACCTTTTTTCCCCCCCAGATGGCCACTTACTTATAACCGATGCCATTTATTGAATTATCTTTAGATTCCCCACTGTGGTGAAATGCCGCCTTCATACACTAAGGCCCCGTATGCATTCGCCTCTGCTCTTGGGCTTTCTATTCTGTTCTGTTGGTTTGCTGTCTAGTCCTGCTCTGGGACCCACCTGTTCCTATACCGAGCATGGTGTAAAATCAGCAGGGCTTGCCTTCTTCACTGCTCCTCTGTTCTACACTTCCCTTTCCTATTAGCTTACTGCTTTTTGAAATATGACTTTCAGATTCAGTTTGTTTAGTTCCAATAAGTAACAACAACCACCAAAAAAAAAAACTTCGAAAACCTCCTGTTGGTTCTTTTATTGTGAACACCTTAAGTTTATAAATTAACTTAGGAAAACTTGACATGTTTTATGACTTCGAAGCATGGAGCCCTATGTGACTGCACAGGTCACATGCCCACGAAGTGGCCTCGGGTGTGAAGGAACTGGGGCCGAGGGTGTCTGGGAGCTACCATGCCAGCCCTGGGCTGCCACCTGTTCCTTTAACACAGAGAGAGCGCACGTCCCTGCTCTCTGTTTCTTGGAGTTTTTCTTACATGCATTCCACAACTGATGCCGTGTTATGATTATCCTCAATTTACAGGTGGAGAAGCTGATGCTCAGACAGCATGGCACCTGGTCCACGGCAGCACATGTGGGGTGTGGCCTCAGGCCCTGTGGATGTGGATCGCACCCTCTTTCTTGTACCGACACATTCGCTTTCTTTTCCTACAGAGATGTTATCATTCTGTGTTTCCTTTTTCCGGTGAGCCGTTGCATTCTGCAGGCGTGCTGGTCTCACCACGCTCCCTCTTTGTAGTCTATGGTAGGAGGAGGGTCCCACTTCACCCCACTGGTGGTTCCTCATTCACGTTTGATTTGTACTCTGGAGTGGACAAGACGCAGGGCCATCAGTTCACATTTAAAATATTGCCAAAAAGTGATTCACTTTTGTCTCTAACAAAATGTTTATACTCTGATTCCTCAGTAATTCTCCCTTTGTAGATAAAGAGTTAAGATCTTACATAATTCAATTAAAAAAGAAACTCAAAATATGTGAGATCCCATCTGATGTGGGTTTCCATCCACTTGACCCTTTAGGAGGAAAGCATGTGCTGGCAGTCCTTCCACTGAGATCCCAATCAGGGAAATTCAGTTAGAATTTATTATTTTAATAGTGTGTTAGGATAAACAGTGCTGCTCACCCTTCAGATGCTCTCATGCAGGGCCCTTGGAAGATCCGTGGCCATTAACCATCATCTGTTTTATTAGTTTACAAGCCATGGCCGCCACTTCAACACACTGGGACCCCAGGGTAACACAGGCATTATATTTGCTGAGTTTGAGCTCCAAAGGGATTGTGGTTTTGCTCAGCTCCAGGGCGAGCACCCAGGTTGGTTAACATCCACAGGTTCTGGACCAAGTCCTGGGTGGGGTTGAGGTGGAGGTGGGTACAGTGCATGATTGCAGGTAATCAGTGTACCGCGCGGGATGCTGGCAATGGCTTTCAGAAACCCACCCCTCCCCCTCTTTGTAGGAGGAGAGAAAATCTTGCACCTTCCCCAAGAGGAAGAAATTCCAGTCTGTTCAGTCAGATTCCAGGACAGTGAATTCTGGACATTCACCAATAAGCACTTAACTGTATGTGCTCCCCTGCCTCTTCCCTTGGTAAAATGATCAGGATCCCTCCGAACCTAGGCCGGTCAGGGTAATGCGTGGCTGCTGGGGGTGCCCAACGGCTTAGAAGCTGGGGATCAGACCTGGATTTTAGGTTGAAGCCCCTGCCTACGCCTTGACTTCCAACCTGGTTTTACCATACACCTTGCATTGGACTGTCAGGCCCACTGTCACTGTCCAGTTTGTGACCGTGTGGCTCTTAGGAGGTCCATGGAGAACAGAACTCTGGTGTGTGAGCATCCTTGTCCATAGTATCATTTTTAATATCTCCCAGATCTCACTGCAAGCTTGGGCCCTCTGCCACCACCTTGATTGCAGTTCTAGGCTCTAGAACCATGAGATGGAACATTTCTGTTGCTACTCATTTGTGATGCTTTGTTATGGCAGCACTAGCCGACTTGGGAACCAGGTTGGGTGAGCCTATTTTAAAAGGCTGGCGGACCACGTGGTTAGAAGTGGGAATACCGTGCCGTGCAGTGTCTGAAATCATTGCCCTGCCTTTTCCTCCACGGTTCAAAGGCAGTAGCGATAATGGCATTTGCTTGACTGCAAGAAACTCATAAACGTTTGCCAACAAACTGTACTATTTACATGTAAGAGAAGACTTTCAGTCTCACTCCTACTTTGGTAAAATAAGGAAGCTTGGGGTAGGGTTTTCGTGATCTGAGTTGGGTCACATGGAGGTCAGGTCACTGATAATGTGGAATAGATTGGAGGCTTCCTAGCTTACGATCTTAGTCACTTTCTGATGAGAACTCTCTGATTCTCAATAAGAAGTTACCGAAGACATGATGAGGATTTTTTTCTTTCAGTCCTGAAATACTGAGCACAATGCTTAGCACTGATAGGTGCTAAAAATCTGCAACTTTTACTATTGGTACCCAACTCTGGAGAAGAATTGTTTTTCTTAAGTTATCAGAGGGGTATGGGGTGTCTGCCCCTTGAAATTTATGGATTATCCATGGTTCTTATTAAAGTATTTTAATGATATTATTGGGTCTGAAAATGCTGCCATGAGCAATCTGGGTTACAAGGTTTTAAGCTTTATACCACATTACTAATAGACCACCTCTGAAGAGAATCGGTCTTCGCTGTCTGGTAGCTTCCCACCACAAAAATACTTCAAATCAAAAACGTGCAGTGTTTTATGAAAGAACTTGATAAAGTAAGGAAAACTTAAGTCCAGTGTATCCAAGACACTGGATAAATATCTTAATCATTGAGCGTTACAATTCTAATATATGACATATTTCTACTACGTTTGCTAATAATCAAGCAAACTAATCATAAAAAGGTTTTTAAAAGTACTGAAAACTTAAATTCACTAAAAACCAGGAAATATTATATTTGCATACTAAATTTTCTGGTCTCTGAGGGATCATTTGCCCAAAAATTGGCTTAAAGAGGGTCCATCTTTATGGTGGTGTGAATTTCTGGACAACAGGGATTGTCTCTTCTTCCCAATCACAGGGTCTCCATCTCGTTATGCCTATTAGTCCAGAATAATGAATATATGTTCAAGAAATGCTTGCTGGATGAATCAGTGTGTGAATGATTTTCTTGATGGGATTCTATGAACTGAGGGAGAGGAGGCAACATGTCAGTAAAGAAGGAACATTTTCACTTTGATATAAGGAAGGCAATTTATTGTAGTGAGATTATATGGAAGTCTTATATATGACTTTCAATGCATATAAAGTCACTTCCTCCACACCATTGGAGACGATGTCACTGAAGACAGAGAAACTCAAAGTGCTAGAAATCAGTTAATAATGCACAATGTAATGCATTTTCACTAACCTACCCAAATCTAAAATTAGATGACTAAAGATCACATTGAAGTCTTTTTCATACATTTTAACAACAGCCTTTTCTTTTCCTGGAGTTTGTAATGCCTTTGATAACTCCAAACACTGAACTCTATTCCTGGTCATCTGTTTCTTTCTGACTGTGGTGATTAGTTATTACAAGGCTGCTTATGAGAGTAAATTTCTAACAGAGACTTAAACATTTTCCCCTAAATGGAGTTTGTGGAAAATATGAAAATTGGCATGTTATTTGGGGCAACATAAGAAAAGAAAACATTATTTTTAAACACTAACCAATAGAAAAATGCCCCAGGAAGCGGAGAACAGCAATGCAGTTGACCGAAAGTTTACCAACAAATATATACACATATTTATGTAGAGCTTTGCACCCAATGCCATGTTTAGGCTGTGTTTTCTACGTCTGCTACACATCACACACACACAGGTGCGCGCAGACGCTGCCCGAGGGCGCCGTGTAGTTGTGTGCTATCCTTTCTCAGGAGGCCTCTACCCAACTTTCTGAAGGAGCTTATTCATGACTTTTTGGAAAACAGAGTCCAAAAGCGGTTCACATGACACAGTCACGCACTCAGAGATGCCGGGAGCTGTGTCCTGGCGTCAGGCCCGCCAGCCTAAACGTAGGATTCTTTAGCGTATCGGAGCTGCTCGGCCTCAAAGACGGGGTGATGACACCGTCGGAGCAGGGAGTCCTGCTCGCCCTGCTGGCGAGGCTCCAACACAGTTCTCGGCAGCTGCAGCTCCGGCATCCCGGGGACAGTCACCTGCCCTGTTGTTTCTACAGAAGCACAGATAGTCCCGCTCTCCGTCCAGCTCCCAGTCCTGGGCCACCGTCGGTGCCCGCCCAGCAGCTCTTGACTGCACGTGTTTCTTGCATCCCCTCCACGGTGGGAAGGGAGAGGAGGTGGCAAGCCTGAGTCCAGGCTGAGCATCCTGGCCCTCATGCTGCCCACTGTCTGGGCCCCGACGGCCGCGAGCTCCAAGGCCTGGCGCCGCATGGCCTCCTCGTAGGAGGGCGGGCTTCCCGGGCTCCTCTGAGGGAACACGTCCTCCACCGAAAGGGCGCAGGACCCTGAGTGAACGTCTCCAGCTGTTTGGCCGTGGATTTCAGAGGCGCTCTCCTGGACAATTCGGCCAGCGAGCTGGCTTTCTTTTTTCAACCCTCTATTTACTTGGTCCCTGGTGACGGCCTTGGCTCTCACAGCCTCAGAGCTGGGGGTTTTGGTCAGCACTCTTCTGTGAGAGGCAAAGGAGAACGACGTGGAGTGCCTTTTGATTTCTCTGCTGGGCTTACTTTTCTCAGCCTTTGTGAAAGACTGGTGTCTGGTGAAGAAGAAGTTTCTTTTGGGACTGGAAGGAGAAGTCACGGGCGAGCCGTCGGAGGAAGTGTCCAGAGAGCCACTGGAGGCGGCCTGGGGCGCCGGTCTACGCGGTAACCCCAAAACCTGAGTCGAGTCCTGCACCCTCAGGTCCTGGGGCCTCTGGATTTTGCCTTGAGCTGCAGGAAACACCTCCTCAGAAAATGGGTCCTCAGCTTCCTCACTTGCAAAACAGGAGGCTGCCCGGGCCAGGGTGAAGTCATCCTCACTTCGCGTTAATTTTTGGTTTGTTTTCCAGCCCTCGAGGTGCTTGGGGATGGATGCCATGCTGGGGTCCGAGTACCTCCGGTCCACCTGACTGAGGGAGCCCTTCAGTCTGGCCACCGTGCTGGCAATGGGCTCCCCGGTGTGCTGCCGGCCTCTGGGCTCCAGGCCGGCGGCCGGGTCTGAGGGCCCCGGGGGCCGCCTGCCGGGGGAGGAGTCCACGTCGGGGTCGGGATCGTTGCTGTCGTAGGCCGAGTCGTTCAGCAGGGTTGACATGTCTGGGGAAGTAAAGGGACAGCTGAGTTTTTGTTCAGTTACTTTTAGAAATCAGTTGTAGTAAAGTCCACCCTGCTGGTGTCAAGCGAGGCGCTGGGTGATTAGGTGATGCTGCTTTGAGGCTTGCTGTGAAAGACACTGGCCACGTTAAAATTTCATTTCCACAGCTACTATTTTGAGGTGGAGAAGAGAAGTTGGAAAATAAAAGGAGAGAGAGGGAGAGAAAAGCGAGAAAGCAGTATTTCACTGAAAACGGACTGATCTGAAATGTAAAGACTGGTCCTTTCGATGGCTATTTAATTGAGCCCACCCCTATTTTCATGGACCCATATTCCATCGTGTGGAAACAGAAGTTTCTCACCCCAACCCTCTAGCTTAAGGTTACTTAGTAAAATCAGCAGTTCTCATGATTTTACAGAAGGAAGGGTAAGTTCCTGGCTGAGGCTGAACAGGGATCTGCAGCCTGAGGTGATATTGCAGGAAAATTTGAGAGAAAAGTTTCCATGTTTAAGAGCTTCCCTCCAGACTGGAGTCTACCCTGACTTGGTGATTTGTGAAGGTAATTTCTGCTTCAGCTACCAGAGATGCCTTCCACTACTGGCATGGACTGGTAGACGGGCATGAACTTGACCCCACCGTCAAAATCAATCCACAGCACACTCTGTACCTGAACCGTCAGTGTGTTCCAGGGAATCGTCAGAAGCAGTGCTGGAATGTGCTGGAATGGTCTCCCCAAATATCTCCAAGCAGTTATCGATGAGAAATTCCACCAGCATCTTAACCTGTGAGGAAAAATGAACAGGTCGTCAGCTTAAAGAGATCTTTTTTTTTAGAAGTGGGGGGTTGGTTAAGAATGGGGGCATAGTGGGGGTCATTAGGGAGGTGCCAAATGAGCATAAGAGATCTTTATGTGTCTGAAAAGAGCATCCAGAAAATTGGCAACTATCATCTATATTAAAATTCTTTTTGAGATGTGCACTTTTAATTCGAGAATTAAAAAATATCTTTTACGTTAAAGTAACTAACATTTTTATTTCAGTAAGAAGTTTCCCAAATTGGTATTAGACTGACAGAGTGTGATACAAGAAACAGAAAAAAAAACCGCAAGGGCCTTTGCACCCGGGGGAACAGTCACGTGAGACGGGCAGCACTTGTCCTCTGTCTGGGAGGACAGAGGACACAGGCCTCATTTTATTCAGTTTTGTCAAATGCAGGCATCCAAGAGAGAACCATGACGAAAGCACTCGCATTGTGCACTTTCATGGTGGTCTTGAGTGCGTGCAAGAAAGTCAGAGGTGTTTTACTGCTTGGCTTTTGCAAACAGGTAATGAGACCAGACATTGGGAATTTCTCAGAACTAGCCAGGAGCCAACCTTATTGTTCACGTCTCTCTGGGCTTCGAACGACAGGTGCTGGTCGTTGTCTGGGGTCAGCATGTTGGGTCCGATGCAGATGGCCAGGTTGCTGGCATCCATCCTGTTGACCTCAGAGTTCCTGCTGATCAGGTGGAGCACAGAGACCAGGTGCTTGAGCAGCAGGAGGTTGGGCCGCGGGAGCTTCGCTGCAACCCTGGAACGGGATTCGGGGGAGGCTCGTGTTAGAGGAAGCTCCTGGCCTGCTCGGCTTCAGTGTAGCAAGTTGAAAGTTTCTGCCTAACCCAGACTTCCTTCAAAATGAGAAAGGTGCATTTTCACAAGAAATGTTGCAAAATGTTCATTCAGACACTTCCAGTGGCCACTGACAGGGAACGAACAAGTTAACCACAAAACCTTCAAGCCCGCAGAAAATGGTCTTTATGATGAGGATGCCAGTAACATAGTCCTTTATTATATATAGAGATCTTAGATTATGAAGCATTAACTCCTGCAATAACCTCCATAGTTTAATACATTTTGAAAAAATCCTCTCCATTTAGCCATGGAGAATGTCTCTGCTTCTAACACTGCAAGACTGATTTTTTAAGAACAGTCATTTGCTTTTTCTGTTTTAACGGAGGTGCTGGGGATTGAACCCAGGACCTCGTGCATGCTAAGCACGTGCTCTACCACTTAGATGTATGAATTTTTATGAATTGTGTTCATCAAACGAAAATGACACATTTTCTACACCATTTTGAGAAAACTTGATAGAAAATAAATTGGCTATAAGAGCAGGTTCAAAAACATGGTCAAGGGGCACTTACATGGCAACACTGGTACCACTACTAATAAATTAGGCTTGTAAAGCCTCTCATTTTTAAAAAATGAAATGATGGCTCTTACATAAGAGCCATTCATTTCTCATAAGAAGTTATTGTTATGAAAGAGCTTTTGTGTCTTTAAGTAGAAACTTATTGTGATAATCTTCAGATTTTTAGTTTGGGGACAGACACTCTAATGTCTTCAATTCAACATGTATTTCTTTGAAAATCCTTAGCAGCGTGAGACGATCTTAATACACAGACTTTCTCAGGATTTGGCAAAAATGCTGAAATTTTAAAGTTAGGTGTCTAAGATTCTCTAGTCACTAACATGGCATGCTTTCATTTCCGTATGTAATTATTTTTTGCTCTCATTGGAATTTGTTTTTATATTGTTTTCATCTTCGTTAATTAGAGGAGTATGAAATGCCATGGAATTTAATGAACAGTTGATCCTAGATTGTTTGTTATGCTTTCAGGGATGTTTTATGGGAGAACCATTGCTTTGCGTGACACCAGCACGTACAGGCTAAGGACACCCCAGATTCCTGCACCTGGATGGCTAGCCTGCTTTGAGGCTTTACCTATGACATATTTTTTGACTCCCCCACCTCTTGGAGTTTGTGAGCACCAAAGTTTGCTTTCTGCCTTTTGAAGAGGTGCTTCCTTTCGTTTGGCTAAAAGTATTTTCTAGAAACTTCCAGGGTACCTCTTGATTTTCCCTCTGGGAGTAGATGGACATTTCCTCTACTTCCCTACACACTGCAGTATTGGTACAACACTCTGACAGTTATGTGAAGAATCAAAGGAAGGGGACCGTGAACTTACTGCTTCAGGGCCTCAATCCTGTCCTCCTCACTCTGCTTCTCCAGGGCGCCCATCCACTCCTCAAACAGGTCACAGGACAGGAGCTTCAGCGGGATACTTCTGAGGAAGTCCTGGAGGATGGACAGGGACGGTTCGTGTTACATAACGTGCTGCCACCTTAACTTTCACCTTGTCTGTTGCATCTCAGGGACTCTGCTCATCCTCCCGCAGGCTGCAACCGCTTCCTTCCTGCATTCGCTTAGTCCGGAGAATCTCTCTCACCTGCTTGTCTCTCAGCAACTTCCTAACTACAGGCCCAGTAAGGCCATCAGCCAAGGGGCCACCAGATTAAGGGGAATGGACTAGGCCATGTGACGGTCCAAGTGCTTTTTCTTATCACAATTTGGAGGAAATTTAATGCATCACTTTCTGCTGGAATCTGGGGTCACAGAAACAGAGATGCTGATGTATATAAATAAATAAATAATAAAGGGCTTAACTGAAAATATTAAAGTCCAAGGTCAGCTTCCTTTGCTTTGCAGGGCGAAGAGCCCACCTCTTACTTCCTGAGAGCTGGTGTGTCAGAGCCCGTCAGCAGGTTATCTGGCACCAACGCCGGGAACTCACCTTGAAGACCACGGCCAGGAGGTGCACAGGGAGGCTTTTGAGGTCCACCGCGCCTCCGGAGTTGAGCTCCTCCTTGAGCTCCTTGCGGGCTTTCTCGTTGGCTGCTTTCCTGAATATCCCTTCAGTGGAAGGGCCTTTAAGGCACAGAATAGTGAGGATATCCTGAAGGGAAGGGGAGCAGAAACAGGAGATGGTTACCCTTGGTTTGAAGACACACTTTGCTGCTACTAATACAGGAGAAATCTATGTTTAGGTAGGACAAGGGGAACTAAGACAGTGGGCGTGACGGTGGCTGACTTTACTGTCATACAGTACAGTCCTCTTCATAACAGTGAGTTCTCCAGGATACTAAGACAGTCTTAACAAGAGGCTATTAACGCCAGTTCCCCTTTCAGTCCAGTTGCTGTCAACTGTCTTCCTCTACCCTGCCATTCGTAAATTGTGAAAACTCGAATTTGCACATTCTAGAACTATTTCAGGCCTCCCTTTCAAGTCATTCCATATAAACATTGGATCTCTGATCAGAAACTCTGTAAGTCTCTGTCTGTTGACTTTTCAGAAGCTACACATTTTCAGCATTCCTAACTCTATGAAGTCAGAAGGATGGAGGGCCCATCACCCTGAGCTCACAGGCAAATACAACTGCTTCCCAGAATGTAAGTAGCCAGGTGTTCTCCCCACTGCACTCGTAAGTGGAAACAGCATGTCCCAAAGTGGAAAAAACTCAAGAACGGCCCCAACAAGTCTGGCATGAGAGAGACATCAGATTTCCCAAGGGTTTTCCCGGCTGGCGGAGGTGGGGTCACGAGTAACCGTGCGCCCACCTGGATGGGTCTGGGGAGCGTGTCGTCGTTGCTGCAGATGGCCGACAGGGGCTGGTCAAATAGCGACGCCTTCGACTCTGGCTCCGAAGCCCCAGGAAAGTCTGACGAAGAGGAAAGCCTTCTCATGAGAAAGAGCCAGGACAGCACCTTCTTTCTCTTCTTAATTTCTACAGCCGAGAAAACAAGGCAAAGAGAAATTAGGTTAAAATACTGACTGCACAGAAGGTCCGGATAAGACAACAGATACTGTCCTCTATGGTTTGCTGAGTGGGGGAAATAATTTTGCAAAACTGAGGAAGCAAAGGGTGTGAATCTTAATCTAGACAAACTGACCCGAAAAACAACCACGTTGTTACCAGGGCAACCAGCCCCTCAGCATCAACACCAGGGCTCCTCAAAGTCTCCACCTTTCCTGTTTTTACTCTTCACCAGCTGTTTGCTACAGAAAATTAACAAAACCCAACTAAACAGGTCATAAACAACCATCTTAACCTAAATAGCCACAGTGAACATTTCTCATGTGAAATAGAGTATTTTGATTTCCTCCTTTGATTAGCGAAGAAAATGAAACTTATACAGGGAGAGGAAGTGACTTGCTCAAGACCATTTTGAAGGCTCTGCTCTGGGCGGGCCCTTAAACCTCTGTGGCCACGCTAGCACCCGCCACTAGAGGGAGCTACACCTTCAGCCTGTCTGCAGCCACTGGCAGGATTTTCCCGGGCAGGGCAGCCACGAATTCCTGCGGGAAGGTTTGAAACTAGACCCAGCAACTGGAAAATTGTCAGTAAAACTGTACCAAGATATCCTATCCTTGCAGAATCCTGAAGACGTGTGTGCAATGGGTAGAACATCTCACAAGTTTCCTTCTTTCTCTAGTTATAAAAAGCTGTATTTTCTAAATGCATTGCCACATGTTTCTATACATCTTATAGTGAAAGTGGAAGAGGAGGGACAGAGAACTGGATTGTTCTTATAGTTCAGGAGAACTGGGTCAGTGTGACATTATAATGCAATGACTTGTGGGAAAAATGAAGAGTGAACGGTGGGTTCTTTGGGATTTGCGATTAGCAACAGTTGCTTCATGGACTCTTAGAATCATTTTCTCCATTAGAGAAGGAAGAAAATGGAAAAGGCACTGTGTATTTTTCACACATATGCACACTTTAATTGTCAAGACATAAATGGCTAGGAGGTCTGTAGCCCCAGGAAGACCCCCTCTGGATTGCTGGGGCATTGGCTTGGGGAGGAGTTTTTCTATCGGAGCACTTGCTCTCCAGTGAGCTGGAGCCTTCCTGCCATGTAAGTGTTAATGCTCTGCGGTCTTTAAAAGAACACTTCTAGAAAAGATTCCTAGTAAAGCACTGCGGTTTTGCAAACCAAAAACATTTGCTGTTAGCATTTACATATAAGATCAGTATGCTTTCAAAACTCACCAATTAGGTGGCAAAGGCTGTCTTCACTCTGACATGATGCCAACAGAGGATGTTCCTTGATATCACCCTAGAAATATTATTTATCTTAGTTAAAAGTAATGATTGAAGAAATCCGCCCAGTCTTCCCCACAAAATACACCTTCAACATTTTATTCATATTAAAGATTAGTCCATAGGGTCTATTAATTTATTCTAGCTTCTAGAAACAATATTACAGTCTGGCTTATCATATAGGATCTCAACAATATTAGTGCTTAATTTATACATTTATTATATTAATTTTCTAATCTGATAAACTCAACAAGCGATAGTCAATTAAAACAAAGTGTTCCATCTTCTCACAGTGCAGATAAAAAGATTTAAAAATTGCTTTCTTACCTCTGAGTGACATTCAATTAATGTCTCCATATTAGTGGCATTTAGTGTTTTTGACTGAAAGAGAAAAAAATACATTGGGTAAACATTTTTGACTCCTGCCTTGAGAAAGCATGAATTTCTAAATATCAGGAGGGCACCTACAGCATTGCAGCTGCTGGTCAACTTCATCAGAGTTGGGGCTGACTGTCTGGTGATGAATTTTGCTCCCGTGTGGCCTTGGCTCTGTCTACGAGAAATCATATGGGAAAGCGTTAGGAGAGAGACACATAAGGCCCTGGCCAATTTCAGTGCCACTCTGACAAAACACACAGTTTGAAACTATGAGGTAGAAAAGTTTTCATTTAAAGTCAGTTACATATTACCAAATAGCTTATGCTATTAAGAGCAGCACCACAATGCACACATTGCTAAATGTTTTAAGCCTCTTATCTTCATTATGCCAAACTTTGTTATTCATTTATTATATTCCTGTCAGGAGATAATTTGAATAAATACGACTGACATTTTTTGGACAGCTCACTATGTATCAGGGTACTGTCTGTATAAGTGCTTTGCATGGATTTTCCCATCTAACCCGAAAAGGAAAGAACTTATTCCTAGGATGCTGCTTACAGGAGACATAAAACAAAGATAACATTTACAGAATTCCTATACCCCCAAAGTGCAGGCTTCACGTTAAAGCAAAGCTCTCCGAGTTTGTTCTTTATAACACTATCTATTGCGTGTTCCACGGTACAGCTGTTTTCTGTTGGGTGTGATCTTAAAGCCCGGTGTCCCGCTAGAAAGCTTACTTTCTCGTCATGTTAATTTTTGGTACTTACCCTCGGAGGGCCTCCAGCCAGAGATCTTTTACCTCCTGGGAGCTGTGGAAAATGGGAGAAACAGCATGACACTCTGCTTCGACGAATTCACCTTTAGACAGAAGACTGAACTGCTCTAGCTTCACGTGTTCCGCGTTATAAGGGAGAGGGGGCGGGCAGGTGGAAATTCAGAATATTACCGAGACCGGAAAGAACATCACGGGCTGTCACACGGACACAGCCAGCCAGACGCTGGAGCGCTCTCACTTCCTCATTCCTTTTAGGGCAGCTCTGGTTCTTTTCTTTTTTTTTTTTTTTTCTTCTTCTTCCACTTCAAAGCAAAACATCTGTAATCTACTAAGAGTGGAAAAGATGACATGTGGCCATAGGTGAGGGCTCTGGATCAATGTCACAGGTGGGATGTGTGAGTAAGAGATTGTGTTAATCTGTACGTAAACATTGCTTTATATTCTAAAGTGGTAATTTCAGGTGCCCCCCCCCCTTTTTGGTATCCTGTTTGGGTGCTGTCTCCCTTCCCACTCACCACCTACTCTGTTCATAGGTCACCATAAAATTGTTTAGCGCCCTTTGGGTGCAGGATGTAGTCCCTCCAAAAAACCCATATCATGCTGCCTCTTTTGAAAAATAGTCACCATCAAAAACCTGGTCTGTTTCCTTTGAAATTAGGAAGATAGCCCACTAAGCGGGCTATCAGCCGCCTAACCTCTTCTTTCTCTAACTCAGTGCTTAAGTTGTAGATCAACTCCAATCCTGGCATGGGAGGAAAACAGAAATTCCTTTGATCAGATCATTTGAGAGTAGAAAGGAGATGGTGAATTTCATCTGTGGATCCCTTTTCCTGGAGAAGAGCGAATCTCTGGTCTTCTCTATGGCTCGAGGCTCTGCAGGACCCAAAGACCTCAACAGAAGGATGGATACATTAATGTGACACTTCCATACAGTGGAGTCTTGTGAGAATGGAGAGTCTCTAAGTACATTCAACGATATGGTGGGGTCTCACAAAATAACATGGAGTAAAGGAGGCCAGACGTAAAGAATGCATCTTGCGTGCGAAGACCCGAAACAGCAAAAGTAGCCTGTGCTAGTAGAAGCCAGGACGGCAGTTTCCCTGGAGGGTGGGTAGTGGCTCCCAGGGGTCAGAGAGAGGCTTTGTAATGCTCTCTCTCTTGATCTGGGTGCTTCTAGTCTTGTGTGCACCTTTCTGAACATATGTTATTCTTCAACAAAAAGTCTGTACATATATCGTGACCTAATTCATTATCAGCACCTCTAATTCTAAGCCTTTTTCATGTTGATAGCGCTATTGTTTTTATACTGAAAGGAGGTCATGACTAAGCATGTGCTGAGAAACTGACCCACAGCACTGTTAAAACTTGCCCCGTAGCTCAGTGTCTCAGTGGATGATCTCAGGACAGATCCAGTGTCCAGGTTTCCAGCTGGAAGCGCCCTCTCTTAAAACTGCCCGACTTCCCGCAACATCCCCGCCTCATCTGTAGATGTTACTGCTCTTTCACCTTCCCTCTCCCCTAAAAAACCTCCAAAATGAACTCTGATTTTGATTATTATGAAAAAGGGCATTTAGGAGGCTTGCCGGAGGGTCCACGAGGTCAGACTATTTTACAACAATACTGAGATGCTGTTTGCCCTTGGGCCCTATTCTCTCAAGAGTATATAGTGGAGTTTTCCAGAGGCCACATGATGTGGGCTGTTCTGACGGCTATGAGACTGCAGGCTTGCATTTCTTGTGTTTTAAACATTTCTCAGTTCTAATTTCTCGTAAGATACATATTGGTAGATGTAACTTAGATAAATTAAAGCACTTTAGAATTGTCAATAATTTTGTAAAGGGTTCCTGAGGCCCCAAAATTTTGGAAACTGATGATCTACATCTTTGCAGGTGAAACAAATTCTACATACTTGTCTCATTTACCCATTATCCTCACCCTACTTACGGCCACGGCCATTCTCAATGCAAATCATTGCCAAGGTGCATTGTCTGACAGTCCGTCACTCCACACTGCATACTGTTTACTGATTGTTTTGATAGTCTTAGAGTGAAGAAGGGACTCTTCCCTGCTCCTTTAAATCTGCTGCAATGTGATTTTCCGTGTTTTTCACGATGGCCCTGTGCCTGCAGCTGCCCCCAAGCGGTCCTCACCCTCTTTCCTCCACTTCCAAGCCTCATGTTCTTTATGGCGGTCACTTCACTACAGTTCTTAGTCCTCCTAGTGACACAAACACCCCTCACTGTAAACTCAGCCATCAATATATGGCCATGGGGGCAAATGAGGAAGTTAGCTGGATATAAGGAAAGTGCCTCTGGACATGTCATTCTAAAACTTTTTGAACTTTTAAGTGAGATTTGGATTTTGCGGGGAACTATACATTTTTTTCATGTAGAGGATCATTTTAAACGATCTTTAACCCGTCTTTAAATTTATCATGAAATACAATAAAAAATAGACATATAAACATGTTCATTTCAGTAACAATTGTTTTGAAAAGCTGAATAACGGGTTGAATGTTTGTTATTTATGTTGCAAGACATTTGGACTTTGTAACAGGAAGAAAATGCAAATGATACAAGCTATATTGAATTAAAAATTCTCTCTAATCTCATTTATTTTCTTCTTCCTCTCCTTCTCCTCTTCTTTCTTTCTTTCTTTTTTTTTTTTTTTTTGAGGCTGAATTACAGGACTAGATGTGGCTATTCACTGGCATTGAATTTTAGGGCCGAATGGGTTTTAAGCAAGCAACTGATTTAACGTCCTGTCCACACTCTGCTGTTTTTATCTCTGCGGCAACCCCTCACCTAATTTTCCGTTTCAGATCGTCCTTGAAGTCCTCTCTTTCTGAGGGCATCACTACTACTAGTTAGCCATTCCCTAAGTCAGCAGAAGGCTCCTGGTTATGTCGAAGTGAAGCCTGTCTTGAAAAACTTTTCTGTTTTAAAGCCCATTCTGTTCTGGGAGATACGACTTTCAGCTCTTTCTACTCAACCGCTGCTGCGCCCCACCCCCCACCAACCCCATAACAAACAAACAGAAACACTTCTAAGTAGGTAGTGTTCCTTTAAACACCATCCCCCTTCTTGGCATCCGTCACTAGCTCTGTATGCTAAGATTTCAAGGGTAAAGAGGAGGTGGTGAGACTGACTTACCTAACACCTACTGTGTGCCTGAGGTTGTCCCAGGCATTTTCAAACACTTCATTTCACGTCATTATCAGAACAACACCAAGTATGTCACTCTCCCTATGTTACGGATGGCACAGCTGGGGCTCCATGTGGCAGTTAATTTGCCCAAGGCCACTCTGCTGGGTTTGAACCTAGGTCTTTTAATACTAATTCCAGTGCTCTTTCCATGATTTCTCTTAAGGATGATCCCTTAAGTGATTTCATTTATAAATGAAAACACGATGTCGGGACCTGGTACACCAATACGGGCCTGATGAATCCACATGGATCCTTATGGGGAGCGCGGACCTAGCAGAGAGAGTCAGATTTGGGCAATTGTCCTGAAACTTCAAAATCTCTTTCTGTCAATTTCATTAATAATAATAAATAGAATACAAGTTTCAGCATCTTTAAAAAATGCATAGCACGTAGTTCAGTGACCGGCAGAGACCTTTACATAGACAGAGTAGCACCTTTCATGTATCTATAATTCTTCCATCAACCTACTGTGCCGAACTTAAGCGAAGTTAGTAGTAAATATGGCAAGAGAGAAGAGTGAGTTAGGGCCCTGGCATCTTTTAAAGCAGTAATATCTTTTGGCTTTTCTTATAGACTGGACCACTGATGGAAGAACTGAGAGGGAAGAGCCATTTCTGATGCTCCTGGGAGATTCTGACAGGCATCATCTGATCAGTAGGTAAGTTTTGTAAGTGATGGAAAGCCTCCAGCTGTAGAACGGAGGGGACATTCTCCTAGCATTAGTGCTGCCCTGTTCGGCATGTGGTTCCCGCTGTGGAGTAGCAGCGGACAGTTCCTGTACCTGATTCTGAAAAATCTCAGAGTAAACTGACTACAGTTTTCTGAACAATAGTGAAAACATTTGTGAGTGTGGAAGCAGCCATATCAAAAACCAGACACCAAGATGGAAGGATCGTTTTCTCTCTCTATGGTCTTGCCTCCTACAATTTCTTTTGCAAAGCAAGTTCCTACCCTGCATGACAAGGGATTTCAAAATGTGGAGAAACTTCAGTGGCTTTTGCTAGCAAGCAGAACTAGATGAGACGGGGTCGGATGGAAGAAACACACATGCGCAAAGATGATTCTCGTGCTAGGACATTTATGACTTAGCTCCTGGTCACAACCGATTTTTCTCCCAAGAGCTGGCTTTGTTTTTACTGTGCAGAGCATCTCATGACAATAAACTCCGTGACAGGGTCTGTGATTTCTGTGCTGAGGGTGCCTTTCCATGGTGTTACTGAGAGCACTTGGGTTTCTTCCCACCCCTCCAGGCTGGCTCAGGACACCCCCTTCATGAAGGCCCAGTGACCACCTCAGTCCTGACTGCTATGAACCAGACTGGTAAGTCATTCAGCATCTTTCCCAGATAGACTGTGCTGTGCCACCCTGCTAGCCTGTAGGAACACCGACTCGAGAACTGTCTTTCCTTTCCAAGCTCACCTCACCTTTCTCCTTCTTGGACTGCTCAGTGACCCAGGGCCCTGAGTTCCTTAATTAGAGTGACATTAACCACCTCCTGCAGAGAGGATTGCCTTCCCAGAGAGGTCGCAATGTCCTCGAGGACTTCCACCTCACCCCAGTGCCTGGCTACCTGCTGATAGATGGATACAGTGATCTAGAAAGTTCTTTGAGTTACAAATAAAAAAATATTGAAAAGGAATCCAGCCTTTTCTCTGATTATGACTCTCCTCCCCTCCAACTTGGTCTTGTTTTATCCACAAATTCTATTGTCCTTCCCTGAACGTGTCTCCATGGCTGTGATGAAGGCCGTTCACCACGACATCGGCCTTTCAGAACCTTCCCTTCCCTCCGAGTCCAGCTCCGGCCCCAGCTCCTCTAAGAGGCATCCCCAGACGCTTCCAGAATAAGTCAAGCTCCTTCCTTGGTTCTGCATTGCAGCTCACCCTGCGCCTCCAGAAAGCAGAGGACAGTTTTCACGCTGTGTCTGTACGAGGGCCCTGCATAGTGCTTGGCACAGAATAGGCGTTTGCTGCACTTTGTTGTTTTCCACAGTAAAATTCTGTTATTAAATGAAAGCACTTAAATCTGACTGTGCTTCTCGGTGTGGAAATGTGTTATGTGGCCTCACTGTCTCCACTTTGTCGAGAAGGCTCTTCTCTTTGTCGGGACATGACAGTGGCCTCCATGGGGGCCCATGATGTTGGACGTGATGTGTCATCAGCCCTCTCGCTGTCATCCACAGGCTCACCTGACGCCAGTGTGCTAGAACTAGGCCCTTGGTCTTTCCAGTTTTGCCTGAAGTAAGGCGGCATCACCTGCGGTAGGCTCCAGACGACACGGAGCCCGGGATGCCAGCTCTCAGCGAACTCGGAGGGCCCAAGGCTGTCTCCTCACCTCCCGCCTTCTGCCCACCAAAGCCTCACCCCCTCCCGGAGCGGGAAAGCCC